AGCCACCCCTTTGGACAAAATAACTGAAACCAATCGCTTCCTGTAACCATCAGTGAGTTTCTTCCACCTCTCTACTGGAGTTTTAGACCCCTCTTCTTTTGCCAGCTGCTCCAGGTCTCTCATATTTGAAGGGTTCCTTCTCCCAGCTGCTGGTTTGAGATCTCTCCACAGGAGCTCTAGATCTAGACCTCAATTCATTGCTGGCCACTTCAGAGTTTCTTTAAAAAATTATGATGGAAATACAGTGATTTTCAATGATTTTGAAATGGTGTCAATAATTGTGTCCAGTCTATTTTTGGAGTTCTGTTTGAAATGGATCAGATTAGACTTCTCTCTGTTGTTTCTGTTGTGTTGTTCTAATGCAAAGAAATAAACATGAGAACACCAAAGAATTTGTGATTGCAACAATTTTCTAGGAGAAGTGGTTCATTATCTGACAGAAATGCAGATGGCCATGACTAAGAGTCCACCTATGGTTAAAGTAGCTGACAAACACAAATATGTGCTTACAACTACAATACAGTCCACAAAAACATTTCTTAAATCTTTATTTGCTGCTTATAAATGTTTAACAGGAGACTTAAGGTAAAATGTAGCCCACCTGGGTAGCAGTGTTTGCAGCTGTAATGCACTCCTGACCATGTTCAGGAAGTGTTTCTTTGTCCTTTACCAGTACAGTGCAGCACATAAATAATAAATCAATTAAAAAATATAAGTAGCTTTTTACTGTTTTTATTGTTGCTGGAGGCTCTAATACAATATGAATAAGCTTTACAAAATAAAAACAAAACAAATTCAACAAAAGATTCCCCTCCAAAATGGAAACAGTCAAAAGTTTCGACTGAGACACAAAGACAAACAGTGACTCCCAACAAAGACGTAGTAGGTGAGAGAAGAGTTGAATAAGCTAAACTGAGGGGAAGTAAACTGTCATGTTATACAGTGTGTGATTATAACAGTCCATCCCCTTGTTTGATAGGTTTATGTTTCCACTGACTGCAGGCCCGTGCTCACACAGGCTCACATGCATGTGGACACAGTGGAATAAAAAGTAAAATCCTTCTAGCAGAAAATGAAGGCTGCCTTCGTGTTCGCACTGTTTCCATTGGCCAGAAGAATGACAGTTATACAGTGACAGTTATAGTTTCATACAAATATATCAGGGTGGTGTCGTAGACAAAAGTAGGTGCGAGAACTAAGTTTGATGTATGTAACAACAACAGCCCTGCCAAGCCTACACCACCTACAGCACAGTCTGTGTCCGTTTCCTCATCACGGAGGAAGAGTAGGGCCACCAAAGTCCCACATTTCAAACTGTTCAAGGACACGTCAGCTGTGAGAATGTCGGGGATTATCACTACAATGACCCTCACACTGTAAGATTAGCATTAACCATGGTAATACTATCATTATATTCATGACATGAGAGATAGAGCAGGAGTGAATGGCTTTATGGCAGATGACATGTGTGAAAACAAAATACAACAGGAAAAAAAAAAAACAGTAGCTAAGCATTTTCTCCTTTTTTGTTTTTTTTACACAAACAAGAGTGCAACACTGAAACAGGCATGGAAACATAAAGAAAGAGAGGACAGATGAAAGAGATGAGGCAGAGAGATAGAGAGAAGAGAAGACAACACCAGCATCTCTAGCTGTTCTGTTTGCGTTTGAGCGCCTCCATCAGGTCGACCTTCAGAGCCTCCTGCTTTGACTTGTCGGCCAGAGTCTGAACACTCCTGTTCGGCGGGGAGACACAGACAGAGGAGAGGCAGTCAGTGTGTGCTAGATCAGATAAGAAAACAGCAAGAGAGACTGGAAACACACGGTCTGTAAGCTCCTCAAAGGTGTTAGTCAAACAGACGGCACAGTCCGATTCTCCTCCTCTCTGACAGGACAAAAACCTCGCCTCTAGAAATAAGTGGTGACTTCCTAAAGGATGGTTATTAACAGAAACATAAATGCATACATGTTTAATCTTAATTTAATCGCCGCTCCCCAAATGTTAGGTTTTGAATGACTGTTTCAACGTGTTGCTTTCAGCAGTCGTCCATTTTCAAAACCTCCCCAAAAAGGATAGTCCGTCTAAAATCAAACCAATTTTAATTATGTTCATCAGCTGTTTTCCAACGAGTTTGTCCAAATCCCATTTCAAAATTGAAGCGGTATAAAATAAAAGTAATATTCTACAGAAGTAATCAAAGACATTTTAGCCTGTACTTACAGGAAGTCGGGCTCTATTCAAATCTATTAGTAACATCAGGGTTATAGAAAGATAAACACCAAAGAAAAGAGATAAGAGACCAGCCCTTGACTAAAAAGTGCGAAACAGATGGGAAAACTCTAGCTGATATGCGGAGTGTCACTGCCACCTAGTGGACAAAGTGCAATCACACGCCTAAAAGTTTCTGTGCTGCAATACAGGCGATGAGCACGTTTTTGAATGGGGATCTTCTTCAACTCATAAATGTAATGAACTGTCTTCACACACTGCAGTCTTAATATAATAATAAAAATGATTAAATAAATAAAATCATCTCACCACAGCTCACCTTTTAGTAACTGATCTTCATTAGTAGACAGATTTTGACTAGTTGTCATCCAAGTGTATAATTTCTGCAATTCAAACTTCATTCCTGAAGTAACTGTGACTGATAGAAGATCAGATGAGTCATTTTAGATTGAAGGTCAGTTTCCAGTTTTAAAGAAAAGTAACAGCTTCAAAGATGACATCATATTTGCTACCAATTGCAGGTGTTTTGGTGAAGAAAATGCAAAAATTATTTAAATATTTTACGAGGAAGAGCCTAAAAAATCACACATTAAAACATCCTACAGCTGGTCAAATACATTAGACACTATATCTTATCTCTATTACCAGTGGTGGTAAGTAAGAGTAGCAATACCACAGTGCACAAATACTCCGACACAAGTTAAAGCCCTGCATTCAGAATTACAGGATAAATGGTTTTATCACACTATGATGTAGTTGGAAGCTGATGTAAGAATTGTTTAACATAATTGTCAACCATTATAACTTCTCCCATGAAAGCATAGTTTATATATACAAGAATATACAGATTCTTGAGTATTCTCATGTTTATTTCTTTTGCTTGCATTGAAACAACACAAAAACACTGGGAAAAACCCCCAAATCTGATAGATTCCACATAGAACTCCAAAAATGGACTGGACACAATTATTGACACCTTTTCAAAATCATCAGAAATAGTTTTATTTCAAGCATGTGATGCTGCTTTAATTTGTAATGAAACTCACCTGTAGCAATCAGCAGGTGCTGGCAACATAGAAATCACACTTGCAACCAGTGAAATGGAAAAAAGTTGACAACCTTTGTGTCATGTGGACCTCACTGAGCATGAAGAAACTAAAGAAGAGCAAAGAATTGTCTGAGGATTCGTGAAACACAATAGTGGAAAAGCCTGGACAATCTCAAGGCTACGAGTCCATCTCCAGAGATCCGGCTGTTCCTGTGTCCATTGTGCGCAACATTGTCAAAAAGTTTACAGCCCATGGTTGTAGCTGATCTCCCTGGATGTGGACCAAAGAGAACAATAGATGACAGAGTGCAACAAAGGATTATTCAAGTGGTGGATAAAGAACCTCGATCAACTTCCAGACAAATTCAAGCCGACCTGCAGGCACACGGTGCAACAATGACAACTTGCACTATCCATCACCATCTCAATGACAAGGGACGCCATGGTAGGAGACCCAGGGGGACCTCACTGCTAACAAAAAAATCATAAAGACAGATTGGAGTTTGCACAAACTTACCTGAGGAAGCCACAATCTTTCTGGAAGAATGTCCTGTGGACATTTAGACTACAATAGAGCTTTTTGGTCGAGCACATCATTCTGCTGTTTTCTGAAAATGAAATGACACCTTCAAAGAAAAGAACACGGTCTCTACAGTCAAACACGTGTAGGTTCACTGATGTTTTAGGGTTGCTCTGCTGCTTCAGGCACTGGATGTCTTGACTGTGTGTATGGCTTTATGAAATCTGAAGCCTACCAACGAATTCTGGGGTACAATGGAGGGCCCAAAGTCAGGTCTCCATCAGAGGTCATGGGTCTTCCAGCAGGACAATAACCCAAAGCAGATTTCAAAACACACCATAAATGGTTTGAGACAATGTGCTGGAGAACTCTGAAGTGGCCAACAAGGAGTCCAGATCTATAGCCCATAGAGCACCTGTGGAGGGATCTCAAAACGGTGGTTGGAAGAAGGAACCCTTCAAATCTAAGACCTGGAGCAGTTGTCAAAAGGAGAGTGGTCCAAAATTCCAGTAGAGAGGTGTAAGAAACTCAGTGATGGTTACACGAAGCAACTGATTTCAGTTATTTTGTCCAAAGGGTGTGCTACCAAACATTAAGTTGTGGGTGTCAATAATTCTGTCCAGTCCATTTTTGGAGTCCTGTGTGGAATGGATCAGATTTGGCTTTTTTCATGTTGTTCTAATGCAAAGAAATAAACATGAGAACACCAAAGAATTTGTGATTGCAACAATTTTCTAGGAGAAGTGGTTCATTATCTGACAGAAATGCAGATGGCCATGACTAACAGTCCACCTATGGTTAAAGTAGCTGACAAACACAAATATGTGCTTACAACTACAATACAGTCCACAAAAACATTTCTTAAATCTTTATTTGCTGCTTATAAATGTTTAACAGGAGACTTAAGGTAAAATGTAGCCCACCTGGGTAGCAGTGTTTGCAGCTGTAATGCACTCCTGACCATGTTCAGGAAGTGTTTCTTTGTCCTTTACCAGTACAGTGCAGCACATAAATAATAAATCAATTAAAAAATATAAGTAGCTTTTTACTGTTTTTATTGTTGCTGGAGGCTCTAATACAATATGAATAAGCTTTACAAAATAAAAACAAAACAAATTCAACAAAAGATTCCCCTCCAAAATGGAAACAGTCAAAAGTTTCGACTGAGACACAAAGACAAACAGTGACTCCCAACAAAGACGTAGTAGGTGAGAGAAGAGTTGAATAAGCTAAACTGAGGGGAAGTAAACTGTCATGTTATACAGTGTGTGATTATAACAGTCCATCCCCTTGTTTGATAGGTTTATGTTTCCACTGACTGCAGGCCCGTGCTCACACAGGCTCACATGCATGTGGACACAGTGGAATAAAAAGTAAAATCCTTCTAGCAGAAAATGAAGGCTGCCTTCGTGTTCGCACTGTTTCCATTGGCCAGAAGAATGACAGTTATACAGTGACAGTTATAGTTTCATACAAATATATCAGGGTGGTGTCGTAGACAAAAGTAGGTGCGAGAACTAAGTTTGATGTATGTAACAACAACAGCCCTGCCAAGCCTACACCACCTACAGCACAGTCTGTGTCCGTTTCCTCATCACGGAGGAAGAGTAGGGCCACCAAAGTCCCACATTTCAAACTGTTCAAGGACACGTCAGCTGTGAGAATGTCGGGGATTATCACTACAATGACCCTCACACTGTAAGATTAGCATTAACCATGGTAATACTATCATTATATTCATGACATGAGAGATAGAGCAGGAGTGAATGGCTTTATGGCAGATGACATGTGTGAAAACAAAATACAACAGGAAAAAAAAAAAACAGTAGCTAAGCATTTTCTCCTTTTTTGTTTTTTTTACACAAACAAGAGTGCAACACTGAAACAGGCATGGAAACATAAAGAAAGAGAGGACAGATGAAAGAGATGAGGCAGAGAGATAGAGAGAAGAGAAGACAACACCAGCATCTCTAGCTGTTCTGTTTGCGTTTGAGCGCCTCCATCAGGTCGACCTTCAGAGCCTCCTGCTTTGACTTGTCGGCCAGAGTCTGAACACTCCTGTTCGGCGGGGAGACACAGACAGAGGAGAGGCAGTCAGTGTGTGCTAGATCAGATAAGAAAACAGCAAGAGAGACTGGAAACACACGGTCTGTAAGCTCCTCAAAGGTGTTAGTCAAACAGACGGCACAGTCCGATTCTCCTCCTCTGTGGAGAGAACAACACAGTGCCACAACTTATCACACATTAAACATATATACACTGCACACGTGGATCTTTAATAACACGCAAAGTAAACCGCCATTTGTTGTCATGCAGTTAAATCATGTGCTTTACCTGTTTAGTGTCCTGTAGAGGAGTATTCATCATCCTTTACATTTTGCACCGTGCTGAGCTATTTTAAGATGCATTACTGGGAACAAAATTACGAGCTTTTACGTGCAAATATAATTTAAACAAGAAATCTGTTTGCTTTAATTGTATATTTTGATCCTAATGAGCATTTCTAAACAATTTTGTCCAGCTAAAATATTTATATTTCAATGCTGTGCTTTCACACACATTTGTACAAAAGTGTTTTTGCTTCGATAGGACAAAGTGCTACACACTGAATAAACAGCATCTAAGGAAACCTTATAAGGGCAACGAACTGCAAAACATCAGGGGTGGAGGCGGCTTTGAATGCTCAGACACGGTTAGTGTGTTCCTCCCTCACACAGACTGTGCATTAACGCCCACACAACATGCTAACACAGCTGCTGCATATTTACACTCTGGGGAGCATGCATTATGTCCATACAGCACACAGTCACCTGTGAACCTGGGCCCTGACAAGCATTTGAAAACCATTTAAGTAGGTCCGTTTGATTTGTGTCATTTTCTACTTTATTTTTAGCTTTGGTTTGTTGTTGTCAGCTGGATCTGTATGTGAACATATACACCGATCAGCCATAACATTATGACCACTGACAGGTGAAGTGAATAGCATTACCTCATTACAGTGGCACCTGTCAGTGTCAGTGTGTGGGGTATATTATACAGCAAGTGAACATTCAGTCCTCGAAGTTGGTGTGTTGGAAGCAGGAACAACGGCCAAACGTAAGGATCTGACAGTCAACCAGGAACAAGGCTCACGGATGATGGTAAATGGACTGTATTTATATAGCGCTTTTATGCACTGGCCAAAGCGCTTTACAGGGAGATTATACACCATTCACACACACATTCACACACCAATGACGACAAGGCTGCCACACACCGGCGCTAGTCAAGCCACCGGGAGCAATTTGGGGTTCAGTGTCTTGCTCCGGGACACTTAGGCATGTGGGGAGACCAGGAGTCGAACACCCAACTTGCTGGTCAGAAGACGACTTGTCCTACCTCGTGAGCCACAGCCACCCCCAATGATGAGGCTGACCTACTGTAGATTAAGCTTTTACATTTAATTCAGCCTTTTAAAAAGGTTACATTTTGTTTGAGTCTTTGTTAAAATTGTTGAAAATGAGAAATACTGTACTTTGGTCTCTATGAAGAGAAACATTCAGCGGCTGTAGTGGTGATATCACACCTAGAGTGAGAAGGCTGTTGAATGTGTCTAAACGATCTCTAACTTGTCCTCACGACCACAGCTTTCACTCCTTTCACATATTTTTATCATAGAATAGTAGAGAAATTTGTGCTGTTTCAGAAAGTAGAACTATGGAAGCAAACAGATTCACATAAGATGCGCTGTGAGTGACAGGAGCGCCAACCAACTGCAGCATTGACCCCTGTGTACGTGCACAGTCTTAGACAGGTGGTCGTAATGTTATGCCTGATCGGTTTTAACTGCCCTATATAAAGTGTCCAAAAGTGTTTTATGAAACCGTTTATATTACACATCTGTCTCGCCGGTCTTACAAATATGTTGGCACAGAAAATTAAATGTGCAAAACAAGAACAACAAGGAAACTGAACTATACTATTGGGCTGCAACTAATGGTCACTCAACCTGTCACTGTATTTGTACAACTAATTGATTAATTTAGTCTAGAAAATGTAGGAAAATAGTGAGAGATGCCAAAAAAGTCAAAAATAAAGATATTCAGGTTACACTGGTATGAAACTGTAAAAAGTGGCACATTTGGAAAAGCAGACAACAGCAAAAAATGTCTTGATATAATATCAAAATTGTTGACAATAAATCATCTAATGAGTGATTAATCCACTGTTTGACTCCTACCATGCTGTTTTTCAAATTAAACTTATTTTAAAGGAAAGTCTCTGTAGCAATACTTGCTGTAATATAATGACAGAATATAATGAAAAACTATGTTGCGATGTTTCATCCTTAAAAAACTACTATCATGGCATACCACACACATTCCTGTAGTGAAACAGGCTAAATTAGAACAAAGATTTGCTTATTATTTCAATGCTGACTTTTAGCTGCTTTGTTCCTAAAAGTGTTTGTTGGAGTAAACAAGAGAGAGGAGACAGTGGACAGAGCAGTCCAGCTACATTTCACCTTGTTCATTTTCTACATAATACACACACGCACACACAGTTCTCCATGCCAGGCTGTACCTCTGACCCTAGTCAATGAAGATCTGACGCTGGGTGAGGACCTGCGACAGCTCCCTCTGGAGCTGCCGGTACTTTTGGTTATCAGGCAAAGACTCAATAGATCTGGAGCACAGAGTGGAGGCAGCAGGGGAGGAGAGGTGACAGAGGAGACAACACAGGGGACAGATAGTGATAAGAATGGTAGCGGAAATATGAGATAACAAGGCAACTAAAACAGTAAGATCAACAGGAGAGGTTGGAGAAAGGAACAGGGGACGGAGAAAGTGACAATACACAAGAAAACACTGAAAAGAGGAACAGTAAAAGTAGGTTGATGTAAAATATAAAATACAGTATCAGACGAGGAATGACCGAGATTGACAAAAATAGTAAGAAAATATCTGCTGAGCAGGTCCACAGATAGAGAGACAGTGGTCGACTGACTCTGGAACGCTGCTCTAAAAGGAGGTGGTCCAAGTTATCTAGACAATGTATGTAGCATTACCTTAGGCCGTTGACGATGTCCTTGGTCTTCCCAAAGTAGATTTCATTCAGTGTGGAGCGAATCTTGTTCTCCATATCCTATAATAAGAGCACAGCTTTTAGCAAGAGTCCTCCCTCTAGTTTCAATTTATTAAGTGCAACATTTTTGGATTTGGAGGCTCTGAAGTGTCCTAAACATGATTCACAGTGAGTGTGGCTGAGCAAACAGACTGTCTCATTTAATGGTATATATGCAATACTATACAAGTCAGTAATTTCACTGCAGAGGAGTAAAATCACTGATCTAGGAAGGCAGTGGAGAAGGCAAACAAACAGGACGCTAGGAGTCACACTGACTTCGACAAGACGGCCAATGTTGGCGATGTGGGGGGAGGATTCTCCAACTGTCTCATCTTTTTCCATCTGTGGAAGGATGAAACAAACCGAGTTGAAAGAACTGAAGCACAGCTGGAAGCGTCAGCAGCGGTTCTCTGATTAGCTCAGCAGCATACCTGTCTTGTAAGGCTGCCACCCAGGTTCATGGTACCAGAGCCGGTCTTGGTTGTCTGGAGCCACAGCATGACAGTAGAGGTGAGTTTGTAGTGAGCAGTGCGACCGCTGGACTTCTCCTGCTCACACAGAGACAGACCAACAAATCACATAATGCTCCAAACAATCTGAAGTAAACTCCAATGTTTGACACTGGACCACTGTCTCGGATTTATGTTGGTGCATCACTTGTCACTTATCAGTATCCACTGACTCTCACCTGCACCTCCACCACATGGATGGAGTCCCAGCACCCTTTGATCTTTTTGGATCCATCCCCAGCCTTCTTGATGAGAATAACTCCAGCGAAGCCATGATCCAAGTCCCAGAGGTACACGGAGGACACACCACCCTCAAAGTACCTCAAAACACACAGACATCCAAAGTAACGAGAGAGCAACACTGATCGTTTATTAAAACCTCTCCATGAGATTACTTCGCTGGTACTCACAGGTCTCTGTACTGGTCGAAGGCATTATTGGCTTCGACCTCAAGTTTCCTCAGGCGAGCTGAAGGCATTGCACCATCCTCAATGGGAGGTTCATACTTATTACTCCATGGGGATCTGATGAATGAAAGAGTATGACAGAATGTAGTGTGAATATAACTACATGTTCAGCTGTTGTGGCAGTTTACATGAGACAACAGTCTGACATCACCTACCACTGACCTAGTGGTCAATGATCCCTAAAGGTCTTAAGAGTCTTTTGAAATAGACAACATAACCCTAGTGAGCGTGAACTGAATGGGACCACAAGGGCGTCATTTTTTTCCAAAAATCACAATCAAACAATGTTCAAAAGCTTATAAGATGTCTTCTTCAGGGCAAGTAAGCTGCAGGGGTAGGACAGTCAGACGAGACACATTCTTTTAATATAATTGCCATTTCTGAAACATAGATTAATAATGTAAGGGGAATGGATTTTGACCTTGATGGCTATAACTTGGTATGCACAAACAGAGAAAATAAGATGGGAGGTGGTGTGGCCTCGTACATAGATAAAAACTTTTGTTATAAGAAAGTAGACAAAATGTCAAGGGTGGTGGATAATTTTAATGGAGTGTGTGACTGTAGAAATACTCGTAGAAAAAAAAGAAAAATGTTGTAATAAGCTGTATTTATAGAGCACCTGGAGCCAGCATAGAAAAATTTAATGACTGGATGGAAGAAAATTACTTGACAATAAGTCATAAATTAATGTTCATATGTGGTGACTTCAATATAGATTTGTTAAATCCTAACAAGCACACAGCAACTGAGGAGTTTATTAACACAATATATAGATGCAGTTTATACCCAAAAATTACAAAACCAAGTAGAGTAACAACCCAGCATGCAACACTAATAGATAATATATTTACCAATGTTATTGACAGCAAAATGACAAGTGGATTACTTATAAATGATATTAGTGATCATCTACCAGTATTTGTGGTTTATGAGGGCCAGTATAGAAAAGAGAGGCCAAAAACAAATCTTTTCTATAGGAGGGTGACGAATGAACATGCTGTAAGGAGGCTAAAAGAGGATTTTATGGGGCAAAACTGGGAATCAGTTTACAGAGAGGAAGACTTAGATAAAGCATATGAGCAATTTTTAAATATATTTAAGAAAGTATATGACAGGAACTGTCCTCGTAAGCAGTATAAAAACAAAAGGAATTACAGTGGGAAACCATGGATGAGTAAGGGATTACAGAATGCATGTAAAAAAAAGAATGTGTTATATAAGGAATTCATAAAGGACAGATCAAAGAAGGCGGAAGAAAAATATAAGTCATATAAGAACAAATTAAATGAGATTTTGAGGAGATGTAAGAAACTATATTACTCTAAAGTATTAGAGGATAATAAAAATAACATGAGAGGTACTTGGAATATATTAAATAAATTGATAAGAAACAGTTCCAGCAAGAGTAACTACCCTCAATATTTCATGGACAATGATACACCGGTCAACAGAATGGAGGATGTAGTTGATAAGTTTAATAGGTTCTTTGTGAATGTTGGTCCTAGTTTAGCAAGAAGCATTTGTACAGATGATACAGTGCCTTGCGAAAGTATTCGGCCCCCTTGAACTTTGCAACCTTTTGCCACATTTCAGGCTTCAAACATAAAGATATAAAACTATAATTTTTTTGTGAAGCATCAACAACAAGTGGGACACAATCATGAAGTGGAACGAAATGTATTGGATATTTCAAACTTTTTTAACAA